GGGGGGGGGTCAATCCATTTGTGAACTTTCGGCATGTAAGGCGTTCCCCAATCTTTCTTGCTATAAGGGCCCCTCTTGACGTACGGGTTATAGCCCCATCCCACAGGAACCAGGCCTCTTTAACATAAAACCTTCTCCTCCCCAAACTTCTCCAAAGCCTTCTCAGCACGGTGAGATAGTCATCTGATGTGACTGTTGCGGTTTTACAGTCATGGTCCTGAAACCAGAACGGGCTGATCACGTCTTTGTAGCTGAACACTTTTTAGAAATACAATTTTGCGTTTTACCCAATTCTGGTTGAAATATTTTAAAACGTGGTATTTCTCAAACATGCTGATTGATTTTCCTCACATAGATTACACAACTGACGTCCCCTTATTTAAATTCCATTTGTTCAAAGTTTTGTTGAAATTTGTTGTGCAGAGATAACCAAGTTATTGCCCTTTAATTGTATTCCCCCCCCCCCCTTTAAAAAAAAAAACAACATCTTATGTATGGAAAGCCTTGAAACTCCCGAAACATCCCATTTCATGAATACAGTATAAGGGATGCAATCTAGAGTCATCAGCACCATAGCCAAGCGTGATTCCGTATTATAACGGTGTACCCATAGCATGATAAATCTTGACGCATGCATAGTCCAAAGAAGATGTTTTTACACCCCCATCGACACAATTTCGATCATTTAGATCAAGTGATGACACAAGTCATTACCCCAGAATTACAAAGTTCTATCTGCTCAACACTAAGGTTAGAGAAATTTGACATTAAAAATGTTTTTGAATTAAAACACACGTCAAGCTTTTTCGAATGCAATTAATTCTTTGAATACCTTTATAACGACTCCGAATAATTTTACGATTTTTGATAGAGCAAATACTGTAGATGGTTTCTGACCTTATGGTCTTAGCAGCTCAAAATGGCCGAAAATTTCAGATAGAACTTTGTCATTCAAAGGTAGCGAAGTAAAAGCTGGCACTTACCGTCCCCAGTAGAAAACAAACGCCACAAACGTGAGCAGCATGCCAAGGGAACCGCCAACAATGGCGCCGATCATGGCGTCACTCACTGAAACACAAAGGGGCCGGGAAGAAAGAGGGGTGGGGGGGGGGGGTGGATACAAAAGGTAATTGATAGAGTCAAGGAATTTGAGGACCATGAGAGTGAAGTGATTGAAGTCACAACTTTGATAAAAGAGTCCATGGTTTAAACGTTTTCAATCACACAAAATTTCCGGGACAAATTTTAAAAAAAAGTAAGTGTATTGGCTTAACGCCTCTTTCAATACTAGATCTATAAGGTTATTTAAGAGGTGGGACATCCGAATTTAACGCATGTCTCAAATTTCAAAATCAGTGAGAAGTAGTATATTTTATAACAGATAACAGTCTTCCAGTCTGATGTGACCGAAAATGAGAAGGAGAAGAAAAAGACAACCTAGAAAAGGTATAATGACCGCTTTCAGCACGAACACTACTTCTATAATTTATCCTCAAAACCTGTGTAAACGAACAACAGCTTGGTATTATGTCAGGGACTGTTTTAAAAAAAGGCTGTATGTGAAAAGGGATCAATATATGATGTGTTTTGTACTTTAAAATTTTATTTTTCATTAAACCTGGAGACTCGGGTGACTGGCGGGTGCTCTAGTATGGTTTGCTTCTTCTGTCCTGTCTGATATCTGTCGTCTTTATCCTTTCTTTGTCTTGTTTGTGTTTGTTACTCTCTTGCAACCCCCCTAATCTTCAGCACTACATACCCCAGCTGAGTTGCAAGAGCCGAAAAACGCTTAATAAACCAAACCAAAGCAATCCACCCCCCACCCCCAGGGCAGTGCTACTGACTGATTTTGTCTTTAGGCCATTCCCAAAGGTGGGATATTAACATGTGCGTATGCACAGTAGAATTGTAAATGCACGGGCTGATTTATCAATGTCATGCTTATAACAGTGCCGGAACAACATAGGGGGAACTGCTATTTTTTCTTTCCTCATCCTTACTATCGTCATTTTTCCTCTACTTTTATTATATATGTTTGTCACTCTCTTGTGAACTGCTATTTTCGGGGTGCCTTGATGGTCGAAGCAGACAGTGTGCTGTTGAGACTAGAGAGGTGAGCAGAGTAAGCTTGATTCCTCGTTTGGACTTCTCTATTGACATCCACCCCTTGGCGCTCATTCGATCTTATGTAGTTGCCTGCGCCGTAAAAACTTAAATAAAACTTTACAAAAGAAAAACCCAAAGTCAAATCAAACAAAACTAAACTTACACTCATCATCGTCGGACGGAGCCGGACCAGTCTGTTTTTGCGTGCTGCGTTCTCTGACGGTGGTGTCCGGCTCTTTTGAGGGCGACGTGGAGTCACCGCCAGAAGTGACCAACGGGGTAGTGACCGCTGAGCTGCTTGTAATCTCCTCAGTGCCAGGACTTGCTGAGAACGAGAGATGTAACATTATAAAGATGCAGTCGAACCTGCTCTAACAGCCACCTGTATTAGACAATCACCAGTATAAACGACCACTCCCCACTTTCTCCCTTAAGTTAAAAAAAATTTTTTTTTAAACATTACAATGACACTCTGTAAAAGGTAACCTGTTAAACACAGCCACTTTTTCCCTCGACAATAGCTTTCAGCCTTAGTTTTGACTCTATGGTACAGATCTATTACTTGTATAGGTCTAGCGCTCAGCCCCCGATTAAGGTGCACAAGCTTTCAAAGCTCTACAATACAACACTAACACATAATTAATATATGTCCACCAATATGGGAGTATTTTTGTGTCAATGTAGGTGTTTTTACACCCTCATTAACACAATTTAGATAATTTAGGAGGCATTCGCTCCGACCCTGCCTGTCTAGGCCAACTGAGAGGGGGATACAAAATCTCAGTAAAAAGACCGAGATATTCGATAAAATATTTCATCCCACTCAGGAATCGAACACGGGTCTCCTGCGGGATCAAGACAGCAGCGTGCCTAGCCGCTGTTACACCACAGACGCCGATATTGGCACATGGACGTCAAAAACATTAATTTACAATCAAATATAGACAACAGACTTACAGAAGATTGGGGGAAATTAAGGACGTTTATGTGTGGCGTGTGGTTGTTTTGTTTTGTTTTTGCTTTTTTTGTTTTTGTTTTTTAGGGGGGGGGGGGTGTAATCACAAAAAATTAGGCAATCTTTTTGAATATTTAGATATATTATCGCTTTAGCTACCAGCGATGATTTTATTCAATATGTTTTGCACCCCGTTCAACATACTTCTGATCCATTTGGAGACGGGTTGCTTCGACCCTGCTGGTCTAGGCCAACTTGGGATGAGTGGAATACAGCTTCCATGTAGACACGCAGATATTATCGGTAATAATAACGTTTTTCTTTGGATGTTGAAATCACATCTTCTGCATCCAAGACAAATAGCTAGAAATAACACCATATTATGCGCTCGTACAATGGTTCTAACAGATCTGAATTTACAACAGTTGTTCTGTGCATTTATGAGAGACAAAATAGCCGAAAAGGGGAATAACATAATGGGGCCACAGGCCAACATAATGGGATCAGCTTAAAGGGCCTGTCTAAAGGGACCGATATAAAGGGCCAAAGTAATGGGGTTGCGATAAGATACCAACACACGGGGTCTACATAATGGAACTAGTACAATGGTTTCAAGAAATGGAGTCGATATGACGGGTCAACACAATATGGTCAACATTACGGAGACCGGCGTCAGTGGTATAGCAGGTGGACGCTTCATTATCGCATGCAGGAGACCCGAATTTGATTTCCCAAAGGGGAGAAATGTTTATCGAGTATCTCAGTTTTCTGCTGGGTTATTTTGTATCAAGCTCAACCAAGTTGACTCTGACAAGTATGGTCAGAAGTCTGCCTCCTAAATGGTCTTAATTGTGTCGACGGGGACATAAAAACACATTATACATGTACATTAAAATAAAATTTAAAAAACATGAGGGGTCAGCATAATGAGGCCAAGATGGGACCAACTTAAAAAGGCAAACAAAAGGTGCCCACATAATGGGGTCAACATGAAAGGCCAAAGTGATGAAACAATGGGGCTCACTCAAGGACCTTACAACAACGGTACTATACAAACCCCTTGGGCTCACCGGACAAAATAAGGCCGAGGAAAGGGGCCAATATATTAACGCTAATATAAGGTGCCCATATGATAAAGGGACCCACATGGGGGAACCAGGATGACGAACCAGTGGGGCTTGCTAACACATTGAGACTGAAACAAGGGGCCAACCAAATGAGGCGGGGGTTGCGCAGTTTGTAACAATTTCATTTTTGAATGGGTATTCATGACAGTCATAATTACAACACTTTAACACTGTAGATTAGTTGTAACTTAAGTTTCTTATTCTCCACCTTCAAATTGGGGGTGTAGAGAAAATTGGGGGTGTAGAGATAGAAGTAGTCCCTCTCAGATGTCAATTCAGCTTGTGTTGATCAACATTTCTTCCTTTTTGTAAGCAAATCAAAGCAAATTTTAAAATACTCTGTAAAATTTCGACAACGAATGTTTTTTCGTTAAAAACAATTGAAAAATAAAATTCACTTCATATAATCAATCAATCATTAATTTACTCTTTTTGAGAGTGTCAGTGATAACTTCCATCGTGCAGGGCACAGTCGGGGCCTGTGACAAACTAAGCCTTTGACAAACTGGGCCTGTGACAAATTGGCATACTTCCAATGAGGCCGATAGGGGTAAGATAATGGGCCAACATAAAAAAAGCCAACAAAAAGTGCCCATATAATAGGGCCAACATGAGGGGCCAAGATGATGAACTGGTGGGACTCACCAGACACATAGTGAGGCCGAAATAAGTGGCCAACAAATTGAGGTCGGTGTTAGAGGCAAACACAAAAGAACCAAGATAAGAGGCAAACACTTATAGAAAACCATGGTGATGAACCAGGGGGATTCATCAGACATAGTGAGGCCGAGAAAATGGGTCGAAACAATAAGGCCAAGAGAAGGGGCCAACATAAAAAGGCCAACAAAAGCCAAGACAAGGGGCCAACATAAAAAGGCCAACAAAAGCCAAGACAAGGGGCCAACATAAAAGGCCAACACAAGCCAAGACAAGGGGCCAACATAAAAAGGCCAACACAAGCCAAGACAAGGGGCCAACATAAAAAGGCCAACAAAAGATGCCCACAAAAGGGGCCAGGATGATGAACCAGTGGGACTCACCTGAGCTGGAGCCTCCGACACAGGTATAGGCCATCAACATGTAGTTTGTGGCGGGGGGGTAGATGTCCTGATCACACTCCTTGGTGGTGATTGACCAGGTGGCTACCGCGTCACAGTTAGGCTTGTTGTTGCACTGGGTGGTGGCTGCGTTCTGCACAATAAGGCTGCAGTCCTACGGTGTGTGCGCGTTTCGGGG